TAGATATGATACAAACCACTGCAGCACAGTACCTGTAATACCTACAGCATGTTCTAATCGCTCTAATAGGATATTATGGTCGACAGTATCGAACGCTGCACTGAGGTCTAGCAGGACAAGCACAGAGATGAGTGCACTGTCAGAGGCCATAAGAAGACCATTTCTAAGCTGAAGTGTTCGAGTCAGTTTTTCTGTCATCGATATGGACCTCAGCTTACGTCAGCGTGTGTTTCTGTGTAAGAAGTCACAGCATAGAGAATAAATTCCCCAAATAAACCAGAAAGAACAGACTCCACACATAAATGCAACACATTTATTTCACAGAATGACATCATTTCCTGTTCACACCTTGCATCACAGTTATGTCAGAAAAACTTACGATGTCATGATTACCACTGCTATTATTATGCTATTGCTAATGCTAACACATGTAAGCAGAGTTTGCTAACATGAGGGCGGGGCTACAGAGCAAGTATCAGTATCAATATCAGGTGGAGTTACAGAGTGCAGTTTGCTTCCGGAGAGAGTCGACATTTAGCCACCGTCAGGTAGGTCTCCACCTGTAACACAAATGTCATCTTCACCATCATTACATCATTGTCATCATCACAGTGACATTACCATTATGCACTGCCTCACCTTGTGCATGTCCTTCTTGAAGCAAGCTAGCAATTCATAAGTTTGTCTCAGTGATTCGTTGCCTCCCAGACTTTGATAATAGTTTCCGTAAGGAGCGTGCTGGAGGGCGTCGCTGTCAGGATAATTCTCTGCTTCATCCTGATTGGCCTGTAGGGTCAGGTGGTTAGTTGCATTGGTACCATGCATGGAGCAATATGTTTGTGCAATTTATCTTCTCACCCTGATCAGCAGCAAGATTCCTGTTTTAAGCTCAGACAGCCTTGGTGAAATCTGGTTCCTCAGAGAGGAACCTCCAGAGAGAGAGCGACTGGGAAACTCCCAGGACTCGACCAGTCGATAGGAGATCGACAGCAGCTTCAGGACCTGTGACCCATCAATAAGCAGACAACAGCTTCAGAAGATTTGCGCATGTGTAGTACTGTATACTGCTGTACAGTGTTGCGTAGTACTGTGTAGTTTAATGACCGAGCTGCGCTGCGTCTCGTGTTTGTCAATCGGGCTGATGATGTAATCAGAGTTGCAGAAATCCTGCAGGAAGACCTTGTTGAGCTGACGCTGCTCCTCTGTCTGCAGAGAGCTCTCCTATGACACACAAAAATACACAGGTACATACAGAAATACACAAAATACACAGAAATACCCGTGTTTTATTCCAATGTTAGTTCTGACAGCAAATTTTAATATGTTTCATAATTCTTAACTGAATATCCTGAGATTATAGCTGACTGTGACTAAAATGTAAAGTGTAAATGTCTGCTGTGTTTTTAGCAGTGACAGTTCACAAAGTGTCTCAGTTCCCTTGACATCAAATCTGAAGTGTGTCCATATGTCTGTGTGCATCTAAACTCACTGCACACATTGAATATGCAGAACATTTTGTTGAACACATTTTGAACATAGTTTCTGTCCTGTGCATTGCATTTAGTCTTTTTCAGAAAGAAGAAAGATTGTTGATGAAGGTGTTGGTGAGCTCTTGTCTGTCTGCGCTACTGCAGGCTTACAAAGTCCGAGAAGAGTCTCTGGGCGAGCAGGTGCAGGTGCGTGACTCTGTTGACTGCAATGGAGAACAAACGCTGGCTGTCTGTGATCGGCTGAGAGGAGACGCCCAAACACACGACCGACAGCAGGAGGACGACTGACAGACAGACAGTTTCAGACTTTGTTAAACATCGGTTTACTTTGCATAAAGCAGCGGCCCCTTCTCGTGGGGGAAGCCCAGATGTCTTACCCGAGTCCATGGCTGGCATCAGTTCAGGTTCTGTTTGCGGCTCAGACGATTATGATGTGAGTCGGTGGTTCTGATGTTTTCAGCTCAGAGTTTTTGCTTTTATAGTTGAAAACTAGATGTTTAAATTCATCAGGAGAAATGTGATGCAAGCAAACATGTGTGCCTAAGTCTAATTAACATTAACACCTCAATCATCATATTGATGCTACATGAAAAACACACCGCTGGTGACTAAAGTGCTTTGACATCCAACATGTTTGTTAATACTTAAAAAGAGATCTAATGTAAAGTTTTTTAAGAACTCCAAAATATTTCAAATATTTCAAATCAAATTTTTCAGGTGAAAAGAAGAAGTTACTTCGAACTTCACGTGTTGAGTCTGGCCAGAAATGTTCACATCGACAGTTTGACATTTGTTCAGGTTTTCATGATGACAGACAGTAGTGCTCGCTTTGATGACTCACAATCACCTGTTGTTGACTGAACATTCAGTCATTAAACGAAATTCTGAAATAAAGGTTGACACAATTTAACATTCATGCTTTATCAGTTGGACCTGCAAACACTTTAATGAAACTTACATTAAAGTGCAGCTATTTCATAATTCAAGGTTCCTTCTCCCCATTCTGTTCCTCAGGTGTCATATCACACTGGGCCGAGCCATGGACACATTTACAGGTGAAATCAGTCACGTGATGGAGAATCAAGTACAGTAGATATAATTAAAACCACAAAGTAAAACTTATGTGTGCTACGTTAAATCCATAGTTCCTGCTGATGCTGATAAGCTTTCGATGTGTACTGGACTAAAGTCTAAAGTCAGCAGTGTTACCATTACAGCAACATGATTTTGTTTAATTAATGAGGATAATTCATTGGGAGACCCCCCTCAGATGCCATTGTGATCATGAACGACTCTGTGATGAAGAATTGTTCAAATCTGAAAGTTCAAAAGATGTATTTAAAACTTGCACAGCGACATCAGCAAACATCAGCCTGCATCGAGGGTGAAGCACTGAAAACTTTCTATAGCACGATTCTGTCTCCATACGGCCTGTGCCTGCTCCCTTCATCTCAAAAAAATAAAAAATCTGCACCAGATGGTAAAACAGTTAAATGTAGACGATCAATTCGCTCTCTCAGGTGTGGGTTTCTGTCTGACCTGTGGCTTTCCTGCTCTCGTTTTCTCCTCACTTGGCATGCCATCTATAATCCGGTTTCCTTCCCAGACGCCTTAACGCCCACTCACATCCTGTGCTATTTGACCTCAGTAAGTCACATAACATGGTGGGGCTAGGTCTCACAAACTTGGCTGATAGTGACCCACACCTGTTTTTATAAAAAACAGTTCGTACAATATAAATATTATATTGTACGAACGTGATAATTATGTATATTGTAGAATATAATATTATAAATATTATATTGTATGGACGTGATAATTATGTATATTGTAATAACGTGATATTATATTGTACAAACATGATAGTATATTGTACAAACAGGAAAAGTATCTTGTTAGAACAATAAACTTTTCACGTTATAACGTGATACACTTCTATTTTTCTTTTGCCTGGGTGGCAGCTCTATGCTTCCGTACTTTAGGTTTCAGTGCAGGGATAGGTTTTTAGCTTGTCAAATGCTGCATGTAAACTTCCTCTAAAGAAAAAAACTGAAGATCTTTATTTTCTCTGAAGAACTGAGGCAGAACTTTAACCTGAACAGAAAACACTTTTAAAGTTTCTCAGGTCAGCCATTTATCAAATTAACATTTTTCTGATGATGATTTTTTTTGTAATCAAAGTTTTTTATTATTTTGGACATTAAAAAAAAAACATAACATAACAACCCAAAACAACAAAAAACACATTCTGTGAAGAAATAGAAAATAACAATAAATAAATAAATAATTAGTTGCACACACAAGACCCTTAATTGATGGGCGAGCGTGGCTCAAGAGTTGGGAGTTCGCCTTGTAAACGTAAGGTTGCCGGTTCGAGCCCCGGCTCGGACAGTCTCGGCCTCCACCAGTGTGTGAATGTGAGAGTGAATGAATAGTGGCATTGTAAAGTGCTTTGGGTGCCTTGAAAAGCGCTATATAAATCCAATCCATTATTATTAACATTCAGATTAAGTATTATTCCTAAGTATTTAATCCCTTTTTGTAACACATTGAAATTGAAAGCTGATAATGAATTAGCAATACACGTTTGATATATTGTCATTGCCTCCGACTTATGCCAGTTAATTTTGTAGCCTGATAACTTAGAGAATTCACCAATAACATTTAGCAATGTTGTTATAGAATTGGTAGAGTCCTGAAACACCACCAAAATATTGTCTGCATATAGAAATAATGTATGTTCTCTCCCCCCTCCATTCACACCCACTATACTTGAATCTTCCCTAATTTTAATAGCCAGGGGTTCCAAAAAGATAGTGAACAGGGCTAAGACTACAACCCTGACGGGGAGACCTGGAGATATTAAAAAAAGGGGACATCAGTCCATTGGTGAGAACAGAGCCTTTCAGCCCTGTGTCTAAACTCATCTACAAAAATTATCACCAATTCCAAATCTTGACAATGCGGTGAATAAAAACTCCATTCAACCCTGTCAAAAGGGTTTTTCTATATAAAAAAAAATGAATGAAAATGCAACCCCTGTTTTGACTTTTAGATTTTCAATATCTTTTTCAATGTGTTTATTTTCAATAAACTGACATTTGTTCAGCTGCTGAAAAGAGTAAAACAGCACAGAAACAGCTGACCTGAATATTTATGTTATTACATGTACTGAAAACAAGATGTAACCGAGTGAAAAACACGGTCAGATGTTTGTAAATGTATTCACAGCGGTCAGCAATCACGCAGGAAACTGAATTTATTCAACACTGCATGAAAGTGAGAAATCATAGAGAGACTGGTCTGAGGCTGTGCAGGGACGTGTTTTCTCATTAATGACGTTTTTTTATCATCTTTTATTTAAAAAACCTATAAAGTTTCAATAACGTTTCTTCAAAAAACACCAAACTCTTTGATATAAGTCTCTGTCTGATGAGGAAGAGTTCATCCGAAGAGTTGACAGCAGCTCACATTAGAGCTAACAACAGCAAAACCAGCCGAACATCAGCTGCAGGAGGAGACCCAGGAGAAAGACTTGCGCCTCTGTCTTCGATCGCCTTTCCCGCTTGTCAAATGTGATGAAGGAAAGAGAAGTTTGGTGATCCCAATCTAGCTGCTTCTTACTGTGATGTTGACGTAGCTGCCAAATGTCTGAAAGATGGACTACAAACAGATTATCTTACATACTTTACCCAATCTGTTGTCTGCTAGATAAATAAAACCTGTCAGTTCATTAGATAATAACTGCAAATAAACGGGAGAAAACAGCTTGTAAAGGAAGTCCTTTTCAAATGAGATTCTCTCCTGTTGCAGAGGTGATCCAGAGTAACTCCTCATTCATTTGGGATTTCTGTGACTGCCATCAGATTCATCCATGATCGTCCTAAAGGCTGAAACACACCTGACAAAGCTCCTGCAAACCGAGCTGAGAGCAACACTTTATTAAAAGTCTTCATTTTTATTTCATTTACAGGCCCGTCTTCAGATTTCAGTCAGTAGTTTATTAATGAACATTAACACGACCCAAGTGGAACGGTGTTGGTTTATCGGGCTGGGACAGAAAGCTGTTCATGATTATTAACGATCTGTGTGTGTGTTATAAAACTGTCACTGTGTGACCTTCCTGCAGCTTCAATATTTAAACTGTCAGGAAATAAACTCATTCATCTTAATTAGCATCTTGTCTCCATGGTGATAGAGACAGTGAATATGTGAGTGGCCTTGAGCAGAGACCAGGTGTGCACTGGATTCATTCTGTAATCAGTCAGAAGATTATAATGTCACCCGATGCATTTTATTAACCACTGAAGTGGTTGCTCGTGCCTCGTGCTTTTATTTAGAAGGGGCTGTAGCAGAGTAAGTCCAGCAGGGGGCGACAGAGTAGAAACTTATTCTGTCAACAGTTTACTGCTCACATGATTAAAATAGATTTGAAGTCATTATCGGTAAGTACAAACAGACTAACCTTAAATTAGTTTAATTAACAGTAAGTTGAAGACCCCGCCCCCGGGCAATGCTTTAAAGGTTCAGACTGGGTTCAAGTTCAGGGTCAAGGTCCTGGGAAGTCCTCACAAACACCAGCACACGTGTGTGTGTGTGTGTGTGTGTGTGTGATCCTTGGTCAGCTGTTGCTCTTCTTGTCTTTCTCTTTGAACTTTGGCCATTTAGACTCAACAGCAGCTGTCGCCTCTGAGCCACACAGGAAGAGAAATCTGAAGGTGTGAATACTTAGCGTCCAGGTGGAAGCGCAGTTGCCAATCGGAAAACTTTATTGATATGAACAGACATAAACGTCATGACAACACTTACAGAAGCTTTGTTTTACTGCAGGTCACAACTATCCTCCATCCAACTGACCACTCAAATGGCTGAGACTCATCCACCACATGAAGCAAAAGCTTCTTAACAACAAGAAGACAGTTTGACAAAGTTCACCTGCAAGTCTGTAAAAAACAACATAAATGTATTTTGAGAAGAGACAAAGGTTTTAGGATCACTGAAACTCAGCAGAGTCCATAAAAAGAGAAAAAAGAAATTACTTCTCTTCTTCTTCAGTGAATAAACACTGTTTACATCACAAAAACAGCCTGTTCCTATTGGCTGTCCATTTTCAGTGTAACAGTTTTATTTCTTTTCATTTCCAGGTACATGGACATGTTTTATTAAAAAGGTGTGCAGCAGTCTTTGAGGGGTGTTTGCTTTTATGTCATTAGTGTGTCACCAATCAGGAACAGTGTCAGCATACAGCAAACAAGCTGCCTCAGCCAGTAAAACAACACTTCCCGTTTTATCAACTCTGCAGAAGCTTTGATTTTGCATAAAGAAAGCACCTGCAGCTGCATTCAACAAACTGGAAGTATTAAAAACTTGGAATACAAACAACTTGT